GAACTGGGCAGGAATATTTGTAATTTGGTGTATCTGCTGGGATAATCAGCAACTTATTGAGTAAGATGGAAAACAAGATCATGTTGGTGACAGTAAGCTGTATGGAGTGTCACAGTTCCACATTATTGGAGTCCATTTCAGTGCAAAATTGAAAAAAATGATCCAAAGTTCTGAACATAAATAACTTTAGAAGAAAGTTTGTTTCCTTATAAAAAAAAGAAGAAAGTTTGTTTATTTTGTTATTGGTTGGATAGTCTAACATTCGCCATGCTATTCACATTATGCAGGTATATTGAATTCTATGATGCTATGTCTGTTCCAATGGCGATAGCTCTTTCTGGTCAGTTGCTTCTTGGTCAACAAGTGATGGTTAAGCCTTCAGAGGCTGAAAAGAATTTAGTTCAGTCAAACGCTTCTTCAAGTGGAGCTGCTTCAGGTGGAGCAAGGAAGTTGTATGTTGGAAATCTTCACTCGAACATTAATGAGGACCAATTGCGACAGGTCCATACTCTACACATTATTATGTAGATTTTTTCTGTGTTTGGAGCAAGTTCTCTTGATTGTTCATATTATTGAAAATGATCTTGCCAGGTCTTTGAACCATTTGGACAAGTGGAGCTTGTCCAGTTGCCATTGGATCCTCTCACTGGGCTATGCAAAGGTTTTGGTTTTGTGCAGGTTAGTATTTCTCCATGAAGAAATTCCTGTTTCTGTTGGTGCTTAATTCTCACCATTTCTATTTCATCATTTAGTTTGTACGTCTTGAAGATGCAAAAGCGGCTCAGAGTTTGAATGGGCAACTTGAGATTGCTGGAAGAGTAATCAAGGTAAAAATATTGTTGGGAGTTACCAGCATTCATCTTGTGTTCCTATTTGAGCTCAGTTGTCTGACATTATGGTAAACACTTGTCGGCCAGGTTTCAGCTGTGACAGACCAAGCAGGCGTGCAAGTTAGTGGAGCTACAGGAGATTTGGATGATGATGAAGGTGGAGGCTTGGTGGGTTTCAACTAGTCTCAATTTTTATTGAATGTTCTTTTAGTTCTATTACTGTTGTTTGGAGTATGAATTATGCCTACTCTAACCCGCTCCAACACACATGGATTGAGTTGGATACATGGGCATCCAAACAAGGCCCAAGAATAAATTTTTTTGGCAAACGAATTTCATACTATAGTATTTTTTAGTTTCCTTTTCCTGAAATTATATAGTTGGTTGAGTACCTACGGTCACTGTTTATCTACATATGCTTCCTCCAAATGAGCTAATGCATTTAGTCTAACGTTTGGTTCCCAATTTTGAAGCTCTCCGTATGCTGTACATAACAAAGATGCTAAAAGGATCTATTAATAATATTATTAGTATGTTTTTGTTTGCATGCTATTTTGTCATTCAATGTTGACACTATCAGAATAGCTAAGCATTGCTTCTATTAAGAATTGGGAGTTGCATTCCTTTGTAAAGCTAACATTCCAAGCAGACTCTCTTTTGGTTTTACATACATAAAAAGTGTGCCCAAGTCCTTCTGGTCTTTTCACGACTCTTTAAAACGAACTTACTTAGTCTTATACAAAAATAGGTGTTCGTACGTATTATCTATAACATTATGTTTGATGTGTGGTCCCTGCAGGCACTGAATGCCAGTTCCAGAGCTCTTCTAATGCAGAAATTGGACCGCAGTGGCATTACAACCAGGTACCTTTTTTTTAGTTGATTGCATAATAATCTTCCTGACATTTTGATAAGTATAACTCTTAAAAAAATATTTAGTATAGTTCCATTATTTGGAGCATATTTATTTATTTGTTAATTAATTGGTGGCGGAGCTGCACATTTGGTTACTGAGGTGCTGAATGGACTATTCCTCCATAGTTTGATTTTTTTGTGCCCCCGCAGAGACTTCATTTCATTTAGAATTCCATTATCTTGCTTGCTTGTACCAGTGCCATCATTTGTACCCAAATCTCTCATTATTGACCTCTACTATATTATCGTCAGGATTCAACCACCACTACAGCAACGCTGTTTCCATATATATATCTAGCTTATCAAGGTCATTCTCCATGGACCTCCTCCAGTTCTTTGGTGTAAAGTGGTTTGGCTGAAATATTCTGTTTACTGCAGTTCTAGTATTTAGTGCCAGTTGCACTGACTGCAAATTTCAGGATGGCGAATTAATGATGTTTGAACTTGACATATGAGGGGAAACTTGTTACAATATCCTTACCAGTTTGATGCAAATTTCAACGATTGGCTTCATAAGAAACTTGAGTTAAATTTTGTTATAGTAGATTTACCCTTTTGTGTGTCTTTGTATCTTACTCAATGGACGCGTCAACCTTTTGTGTTTCTGCAGTTTGACTGGTGGGATGGGCACTGCTGGTTTGAGTACTCCAGTGGTAATACCAACTGTATCTGTCCTTGGTGCTGCTCCAGCTGCAGCTCCTCTTCTGCACCCTACAGTGCCTGGTCTTGGTTCAATTCCTGGGGCAACTCTTCCAATTACTACCCCGTCTATTGATTTGGCTCCACCTAGTGAATGCCTATTGCTCAAGAATATGTTTGATCCAGCTTTGGAGGTCAGGATTTCTCTGCATTATTATGCCAAGTCATTTAATTGTTGCTCATGGAGTTTGGGGGAACCCTTTTTCTTTGGCATCTGTTGACCATTACCATGCTATTTTTGCAGACGGATCCTGATTTTGATTTGGACATTAGAGATGATGTTCAGGAGGAATGTTCCAAGTTTGGTCAATTAAAACATATTTTTGTAGACAAGTAAGTCAACATATTCATTTTTTAATAAATCCATCATGCTTTGTGCTTAAAATTTCTTTTTGCTGTACTCTCCAGCATGTGGCATTACAAATTTTCATGTAGAAATATATCATAAATCTGAATTGTGGAATGCACTGGGGCTCCTTAAACTTACTCTTAGGTTCTCAGCTAGGCCCATAAATAAATTCTCAAAAGTGTGATTCTGTGTCCTTAGAATTCACCTGTGCTTACATCCATTAGCACCGATGTAACTCATTTGTCGCTCCCATAGCTTCTCGTTGGTACCATTGGAATGCTCTTTAAATGAGCTTTTTGAGTGGTTCACTACAAATGCGGATCTGGGTCCATAATTGGAACTAGAGTGAACTAGTTTTTTTAAGGACCCAGACCCTCACTTTTTTTATGGACCTAGGTGAGAATCTGGGAAAAGTTAGGACCCCTAATGTATTCCACTTATTCTTTAACATCACACTTTTGAGGGTATTAGGATTTTATTTGTAATTAGTCTGCAGGTTCGGATCCACTTTCACACCTTTTCTACTACTTATAGCTTCCTCCTGTTCTACCAAGGCAGTTAGCACAATACCAGTGTGTACTTTTGCAAAGTTTTCAACAGATCTTCCTTAAATTGCCTTCAACCATTGCAAAATTTGAATCTATTCTCACTCTACCCCTTACTGCTGTTGCCATTGCGGTGCAGAAATACTGCCGGTTTTGTGTACCTGCGGTTTGATAGTATAACAGCAGCTATGAGCGCACAGAAAGCACTTCATGGAAGATGGTTCGCAGGGAAGATGATAACAGCAACTTTTATGGTATATTAAATGTTACATCCCTGTTCTCTTGTTTGCTATTTTGCATTTTGAATCTCTATGATGAGTTTGCCCAAATCGTGGTGCTTAATTTGGCAGACCCCTCAACAGTATGAAATGAAGTTTCCGAGCTAGTGGACAGATGCTTGGTTAACATGGACATAGTTGCTTGGGCTCAGTACTGGCATTTCTACATTTTAGCGTTTTGATTTGAGCTTGTGTCAATTATTAGTGGAGGAAAATGTAGTGGCTTTCTCGTAACATTTTGTCATTAATCGGTTTGTAACATGGTTTATGTATCACCTCTACCATTTTGACAAGTGTTTTTTTTTTCCCTTTTGCGAATCATAGTAGACTCAGACATTTTCATGCACGCTCACTCACCTCTCAAACATGTCGCCTACCGTTAAAAGAACAATGAACAATGCTGTTAAATTCTAGATAAATTGTAGTAAAATACGAGCATCCGTGAAGTGTTAGGTAGGTTCCATACACAACCAGCTGAGTCACGATCGGCTCGATAAGTGTGTGTGTTCAGGGCCAAAACGTGAGAGCAAAGGTCTCGGGAGATGGCAGATGGAAGAAAGAGTTGCCTTGCGCTGTTGCTTTGTGTTCGAATTGGAATTTTACTGTCTAATGGAGTTTCTCGTGCCGTTGACGTGACCAGGTAAATGACGTCGGATTTCGGTAAGTATAAGGTTATGCTCGACTATTGCGGCATGTCAAAACCATGGAGGTGCTAGTACGTACCAAACTAATGCAGTTTCAAAGATTTCATGGTAGATTCGATGATATATATACTCGTCCGTACCAACGTATTTGTCACTGTTTCATGTTGCTTCCTTCCTTCTCTGCGGCTGCCGCACTGACAGCGGACGGACGACAAATAGAAACTGCATCGAAACTGCTGTAGACGCTCTGTCTCAAAAAAACACACGCGTTACACTTCTCCAGAAGTAAAAATCTTTAGTAGTCATATAAAAGTAATATTAATATTTATATCTTTAAATAAGTTTATTATATAAATATATTTTATGATTTTATTATACATCATAAATATTTATACTTTTGTGTATATATTTAATCAAAATTTAAAAGTTTTAGCTTCTGAATAAATAAGATGTGCATTTATTTTTGGATGAAGAAATACGAACAATAGATAGGCGGCCGCGGACGGACGGTGCTAACGAAGACTAGAATGTGGACACTGGACAAGAAATAGAGAGTCGGTACGAAAAAAAAGAAATGAATGTGCACAGGACTACTCTCATCCAAACATAGCTGTTTTCTTTTGCTGTTTGGATGAGCATGAGCGTGACAGCGTGGGACCTTCGGAAAATGGAATACATCATTTGCGTATGCATAGTATCACGAATGAGTCTACAACGGAAGGTTTGTCTTGACCATAGACTCATTGGATCTCTCTTAAAAAAGCAGGATTTGAATCTAAAGCCTTCTTAGCTAAGTTACGTGTATCTTCTCTCGGGGACTCCCTCGTTATGCGAAGCAGCTCCTTGACTCCGCCAGAAGCAATGATGTCACAAGTGTTGTCTTCTGCAAAGTTGTGGGTGATATTTGGTAAAGATACTGTACATGTCGATTGTGCACCAAATTCATGAGCTACACAGGGCAAAATGGTCGAGAGCAAACCTCTATGTACTTACCGTTCTGAGCTAGATGGCAAAAAGCAAGCTCAATATGTCTTCGTGTTGAAGCAGAAAACATAGTTGAATGGGCCACCATCCAAGTAAGAACACCATCTTCAATCAGAAGGGACCTCCCTTTCCTGTGACCTATTATTGAACTGAACAATCAGGAAAACTCGATGTATTCGATGTATTCCGCTTCAATGGCACAATCTTCAGAAGTGCAGCACAAACCTTGGCTTATCATCCGGGATTCACATTTTGCAAAGTTTGCTATTCCTCGTGCTATCTGGGCTATGACATCGGTGTGTCCACTGCGAAACATTCCCAGTAGTGCTTTTATTCCACCATCTTGTTTCAACATTAAGTGCAGCTTTTCTGCAAAGGTACACATTTGATAGGTCATATCTTTATTCCCCAAAAAATAGATGTTCCACTTCTAGCAACTAACCTTTTAGATCCAACAGAATATGAATCTAACCATAATTTCAATAAAAAAACTAGAAAAAATAAAGACAACAAGCTGTACCATTCCCACATAAATTGGCAATTGCGCCAGCCACCATCCGCAAAGTTTGAGGATCATCAGTTTTAGAAGCAACATTTGCTAATAATCGAGCTCCACCTTTATTCATAATCACTCCCTGGTTTGATCCTGCAATATCAAGTGTCAACATAAATACATAATGCTTAGGATGTAAAAACTAGGCTAATATTGATTTAATTTTACCACAACTTATTAAATAGTTGAAGCTATAAGGCTGTGTGCATCACACACTAGTGGTGGTAAGTGACCAAACCAAGCGAGAACATGTAAGAGCCTTCCATAGTTCAAATGAGACAATATTAGCATGTCATATTAACAAATCTCCATCCATGAGATGGCAAAAATTTGCACAAACATTGTCTCCAATATGATTCAATTCTTTTGAACTTTTCTACTAATTCAATTACTATTTGAAACTAGATTATTCAACTTTAGTGGATATAAGACTAAAACATCAAAACAGTTCAAGAAAGTGTGAACTTATATGGAGATGCAATGCTTAACAAATTCACATGCATATAGAACATTTCCGTCTGTAATGATGATAGATGAAAGTGTCCATCTGTAATATTTCTTTAGCAATGCAATAATTTGGTATTCACGTGTCAAAGGAATTCTTGTAATGATTAAGATACACATGTTGACAACCATTTTGCAGTATAAATGATGATAATTAAGAAATCCTGGCAGTGAGGTTGTAAATGATTTTTGGACCATTTCGACCAAACTGAAGAGAAATCTGAATGGTGCTTTGTTGGAAACTATGAATCAATTACCATTCATTGCCAAGTTAGCAACAGCACCAGCAGTGACTCGATGAATAGTGGTGTTTTCTGATGTTTCTAGAAGGGATAGAAGAGCATCGAGCCCTCCTTCCTCAACGATTCTTTCCTGATTAACATCTGCAATCCCAAAAATGGACAAGTGAGCAAAAACTGGTCATAATCCTAATACTTCATTAGAAGTATAAGACGTTTTAAATCTGAGTTGTGAAACTCTACTTCAGCCACTAATATGTTCTAACCTATTTAAATTCGTCACATTAAAATAGTATTATTAGGTTTGTTAAAAAATAATATTCAAGTGATAGATCATAGATACCAGTACGGAAACAGTCATAATTAAAGTTACTGGAGATTTGGTCTTGTGCAAAGCATCATGTTTGAAAAGAAAGTAATTACTATCTACCTTCTAGAGAACAGAAAGCATAACATAGAGTTACAGCTACTTGTTCAAGAGAAATGTTGTAGTGAAAAATTATAGTCAAGGGAAATGTTGTACTGAAGTTACTTTTTGCAGTATCATACTCCCAACCATACAAGCACACAGAAAAATGTTAGAAGCTACAGTGGGGTAGCAATTCATTTTGGGTCCTGGCCAGTCCAGAACTCCAGATTGAATTCATATCAATAATAACATAAAACTGTCAGGCAAGAAGGCTGTCTCAACTCACTGTGAGTTGATTCGCTTGTGTATGTGGCACAGATCTCTTTTTTTTTCCACAACGGCAAAGCCGAATTTCATTACTTGAAAGCAACGAAATTACAAAAAGTTTTGTCCAACGAACCATACGGTGCCCCTAACCAAAAGCCAAATTGAAATGAACTCAAAGGGTTCATCCAACTGCGTGTGGCACAGATCTCTGTATGTGTGCACTGGTACATTTAACCTTTCTTCCTATCTTAATGCAATCATAGTACCATACACAGATCTCTTTTTTTAGAGAAAAAAAAAACTCAACAAACAGAGTATGCAAATGGAAGTATTATTTTCATTTATTAAATGCTACCAAAATCCCAATACTTCTTTTTGTAGGTTTCCTATGTTCAGATAAGTTTTCCATACAAATAGGCTCACGGAGATCAAGGCAGTGTTAAATATATGCACAGTTGCAAGGGGAAAACTCCCAGACCTTCAGCAGCAAGATTAGCAACCACCTTGACAGCATGGATCTGCACATCTAGATCCTCAGACTTCAACAGAGCAAGCACATTTGGAAGACCAACTGGGTGTCAATTGGGCCAAAACAATTGTCAGGATGGCAGTTCAAGAAAGACAAATGTCTGATCTGGTAGTCTTCCATGATGTAAAGTTACCTTCTTCAAATATCTTTGATATAGTACCCCTCTGACCAGATAGGGCCTCTCTTAATTTTCCTGATTTGGACACAAAAGCTGTGTTGCCTAATCCAGATCCTGATCTAACCATACTACATGATGTTTTAGACTGTCAAAGAGAAAAATTACATATAAGAAAATAAACATCAAAATATCAAAGGGCACAATAACAGAACCGTACCTCTTCAGCACAATTATCAGACACAGACTGTTTTAACCTTACAATTTGATCTTCAAGGTCTTGTCTCTGGCTCATTTCCTGCTGCACCTTTTCTTGAGTAGACTTCAGTTCATCATATATTAATTCCTGCAATAATTACCAAATAAACAGGTAACCGAGAATTACAGCAAATTGAAAGTAAACAAAAACAACCATTTGTTTATAAGAATCACGGACAGGGTCGATTAGCTAAGACTGGTTTGCTTTACCTTCTCTGAAATAAGTCCGCTGACCTTTTCTTTTAGTGATTGTACTTGAATTGTAAATTCTTCGGTCGCTTTGGTTAATTTCTTTTCCATTTCACGGGCCATACTTTCCTGAAACTGGAATATACTTTGGTCACCTTCTCTAATGATAAAAGCAACACTTCATATTCATTTGAGGACATCTGTGCAGCATTCAATCGTTTCGATATAACTCGACCATGCAACATATACAACCCTGGCAACCACTTATAAGATGAAATGCTTTGACTCACTGAAACACACCTATGAACTGCACAGTATTTATTCCAGTGCACATAAAACAAATTCCCAATGCTAATTAGGCCGGTTGAGTACACCATCTTCTAAGCCTATATAACTGAAAGGTGAAAATATAAGCTGTTAAATTCATGTAGCAATATTAAATTAGCATTGAATTAGGTTGAAAGTGGTAGAACTGCTTGCACATTTCCATTTGCAGGCACAAGACATTTTATACAGGAAGTTAAACAAGCCTTTTCCATTGTAGATTCAATCTTGTTAGTCAAAAAATCAAATATTATGGCAATTGATACCTGACTAATAAGTGGTTTTATTAGTCTGGATTTTGGAGATGGGAATTTCTTATCAATGTGCAGATATTAAATCTAATTGAGACTGGGAGTATGAAACTCTTAAAACAACAACAGCAAAGCCATTTCGTCCCAAGCAAGTCAAGGTAGGCTAGAGTTAAAAACCCAACATGGACACCAACAAAAAGGGAAAAATAGAGAGAAAGAGAAAATAATTATATATAACGCAACTCTTATAGTCATACAAAACTGTGTTTTACCACTTAAAATACAACTTAATCTGTACTGGTTACAGAAGAAAAGAGGGGCAAAAATACATAATATCCAAGCATGACAAGTCTAGAAACCAGAATTCAAAAGTATGTCACAACTTGCCTATTTACTAGGTGTAGAACTATCTGATTTCAATAATGGCTGCATCTTAAAGTTTACCTGGGCAGAACTCTGAGCATCACACAGTTGCTGTTGTAGTACACTCATGCGATCTTTCATGCTTGATGAACAACACCTTTCTTCCTCAAGTTTCCTTAGTAATTCTCCCATTTCCTTCTCATGCTCTTTAGTTGTATCGGTAAGAAATTTCGTTTTTGAGAGGTTCTCAAGCTGTTGCTGCTGCTAATAACAGATCTTATGTCAGAATAGCAACATTGTCATGAGATGAACTTTTTCAATGCAGCAGCAGTACAATGTTAAACTAGAACAAAAAAAAAATATGAGCAATGCATAAAGAAATATATAAGGTGGTAATGTCAAGCTACCTTGTTTTCGTTGAGCAATTTCTCAAGCTCAGTGACCTGTTTGGATAACAAATTATTTTGGTCTCTCTCTTTGTCTAAGTCCTGTGTCAATTTTTTGACTGCAGATTCCAATTGACGCTTTTCCTTCTCCAGATTCTGGGTTAATAAATCACTTGTTATATTCTTGCCCCCTGAAGCAAGGTTTTATATCATGATACTGAAGAGGGTCGCACTGAACGCTGTGAACACTTTTGTGAAAAGCAAAGTGAATGTACAAATAATTTTATATTTGAGGGAAATACAGCAGGGCAGAGCACAACTTCAAATTTGCATCTCATAAACAAAGCAGTGGACCATAAAAGATACCTCAATTTGCATGTTAGAGGTCATTCTTAAATCATGGAATGACCTCTCAGATTCTTTCAACCTTTTGTCCATCTGCATTTTTTCACTTCTTATAACCTTTTGTTGTCTCTCCATCTCTGATGTGAGTTGGTCGACCTCACGCTCCATCTTCTTGTAAAGAATTTCGTAATCAACCTCTTCCTTCAGCTTCATTGTGTTAACTACTTTCATTGCCTGCAAATCACAAAGTAAAAACCCAAGAAATAAGTTTTAACAGACTCAAAGAAAGCATCCCAATCTCAGAGAAAAATGTGGTTACAATCTTCAATAATCCAGTGTATTTGATTGCATTACAGTACCAAAAACAAGAAATGGATTATTATCATAATCTCAGAAGTCTATGACTACACAATATGTGCAAAGGACACAAATTTTGTGTCCATGGTTACTGGCATCCCCTATACCAGAGGCCACCACTAGTGTTCCATGGATGATGGCGTTTACTAGCACGGATGACTGCCAGGGGTGTGTGTGTGTGTGTGTGTGTAGGGGTTCTTCACGCATTTCTTTGAGTTGGCTCACAGGGGAGTGAGGTTCAGTTCAGCCCGTAGGCACTCATTGATTCAGGGTGTTGCAGCCTCAAGCAGTCACTGCTTCAAAAGGCAGGTAGGTAACTGACTAATAGCGTTTGCCATCAGAAGCAGTTTTGTTGTCATGTGTTGCTATGTTCGTCTACAGGGGATGCCAGAACCCAGTCACCAATGTGGAAAACTGCAAAGTTGGGTTTGCTACTTTGCTTTCACGATCATAATTCTAGTTTTCTACCACTGAAGCAATTGAGATGACATTACCAGCTCGGTAGTAGGTGAAAGTGCATTAAGTTAAATAAAGGCAGGTGCATCGAGAAATACATGTCTGGAATTGACTGCAATTTGGTAATGCTTAACCATCATACGACAGTGAAAAATTTGTCTCAACTACCAGGTTCAATAATCTGATGTGTCTGGGTTTAAGAGCAAGGTGTTTCTACAGATATGAAAAGAGAGAACCAAAATTCCAGTATTACAAAAAACACAAGAATATTGAAAAGGAAGGCAATGCAACATTGGACCAATGGAATGGTGAATTGAACTTACCCTCTGCCCAAACATAACTGTGCTTGAAGTTTCTGAGTAATGCCTAGCAGATGGACCTATTGTCACAACAAGAGAAGTCCTAGCAGTCCCTGCCAATTGAAGACCTTGAGCAAATGTCCACCAGATGATATAGCAAAATAGTAACTATTATGTCATTCAAAATGAATTAATCCACTATTAATTGATATCCAAACTGAATTAATCAACACATGAAGAATACAATATGGTTTCAGCAGTGCTATCCCCCCAAAAAAAAATCCCCATTTCTTAGCTTCCTGTGGCTTCAAAAGTCCAAACGTGCATGTTCCAAATGTTTAAGATTTTGTATGAAGACTTTACACCTAACATGACTAACTTATACAAAATACTCTCCCTAGCAAAACTGTAACTCAGCCTGCATTATGCAGTGCTTCCTGCCAATCATTACTGTAAATAGTTCTTTCCAACACTATTGATTCTTTAATAATTAAATGGGAACTTCAGACACAAACATCAGGACGTCAAAGATGATAACCAGCAACTAAGAAACATGGCACCAATCGAAGTTAGACTTGGAAAGTGTGACATATATCTCATCTTTTTCTTTTGTTCAGCTAGGAGTTGCACAGTACATGCCGCTGCCTTCTGCTAAGAACCGGAGTCATGTAAGAGATATTTTTAGAAGATGCCATCCCGATAGCCTAGTACTCTCTAAAGGGAGAACTTCAGCAAACAGAAGCTAGTAATCAACGAACAACATAAGCAAATCATAAGCACCTCCAAATGAATCACGGAGTATCCTTGTAAGCTTTGAATCTCTTGTGGGTATATGGGGACTATTTTCTGCTAGCGCATTAATGCATTTTCCTAAGGAAGTTAATGAAAGATTGATGAACTTGGCTTCTTCGATCATGTGACCTTCACTTCCTGACAAAAAAAGGTATTACAGAGCAATGAACACTTCTGTGACAATATTTAGTAACCAACTTGATTCGCAATAGAAAGATAAAATATGGAGATAAGTCTTACCTGATTTATCAATTCGTTCTGATCCAGCAAGGTCGACAATCAAGAGTTTACTTTTGAGAACAAGTGGCAGATCATCAGGAAAAGTGTCATGTCTATCATTATACAAAGAGCTACTACTTTCTTCTTTTCTTCTTGTGCTTCTTTGCAAATGGATCTGAAAAAAGGCATCAATAGTGCATATCCATATCATTACTTACGGAACCTAAAATAGGAGTGATAAAAGAACTAATTGTTGCAGTGCAGGAACATACAATTAGAATTGCATGACTACGAGATGATTCCGTGTTCATCTTAGTATTAGCAGCATGACGATTTGCCTCACCAATTTGCAGAAGTTGAAAAACATGTTCAAGATCTTTAACTTCAACTATTGCAGCACCTGGCAAGGAAACTTCACCAGTTTTTGCATCTTCTACTATTGGAATATTAGTCTTCTCTGGGGCCAGTAAATCATGGACGGATTCCAAGTACAGCTATACAGCAAGTAGGTACAAATTAGCATGATAAACCAAACTCAAATGATAAGCCACCATTTGTTTAGTTATAAAGATGAAACTTACGAAGGATGGATGGAAAACTTGCCAATGAACATCTTAAATATATTATGCCATCTTTTGTCCATTTTAATAGTACACAGTAAGAGGTCTATATAGTAAACTTTGAGACTTTCTCCCATCCATAAGACCATAAGATTCGTATGGCGGGTTAATTTAGCATGAAGAATTATATAATATAAGATGGGTAAACCACATTTATAGAAATTTACATCTGCATAAGTGTCTTGCTCTATGCCTTTATGGATTGGCAGTTAAGTGCCGAATGAGATGAAAATAGTCAGAGCCTCTCGCAATTCATAACCTATTTAACATAACAATTTACCATCAAAAAAAACATTCAAGCAAGTCGTACACTGTGTGTTATCTTCTTGTCTTCTTCCATAACCAGTTCAATTAGATTGACAGAATATGTAGTTGTATGATTGAAACAAGTCACATGACCATTAACATATAAATAAATGTTATTCTTGCGCTAACAATAAGTAAGCAATTCTTCGAAGCTAAATTACATGATCATCAACATATAAATATGGCTGTTTTGCAATAACAAAGCATCAATAAACAATAACGTCAATAAGAAAGTCAAAGAAATTCTACAAAAATATTCATGAGCGCTAATTTAAAAAGTGAAAAAAAGTTAAATAACAAATTATATCAGTTGTTGGGAATAAAACCTGTAGATATGATATGGCGACCCAATCTGTTTCAAAAGACAGGCTAGAAAGGATATGCTCCAATGCTCTGACCATTATACCACGTTCAGAAGGGTCATCTTTCCCAAGTCGACCAACTGTGTATGTTTTGCCAGTACCTGTTTGACCATAGGCCATTACTGTCCCATTATAGCCTTCTAATACACTCTGCAAAGGTAAATCGACAGTTATTTTATTCTTATTAAAAAAATGTAACTCTATGACTACTTGTGCCTTTTTCCCTCAAACACGCAGGAGAGATGTGTACCTTTATATTAAAGAGAAAGAAAGAATGGACCCTTACAACACAACCCCAAAATCTCAGTAGAGAGATAAAAGGGGATGCAAAAAAGAAGCATTAGTCAAAGTAGTTTGTCAAGCAACAGAATTAGAAAAGGAAATCATGGAAATGCAGAACTGATGACTTTTTTTAACGCAATGCAGAACTGATGACTGACTGTTGTAAAATATTACTTCACAATGAAAGAATTTTCTAGTCACTATACTAGAAATGCAGTGCCCACAAAAGGAAACTAATAAGCAAAGTTGAGAGGTTTTGTTCTGAAAATATTAATAATCAATTATTATCACAATTCAACCATGAGTTTACAGTGGCTTAAATATTGTAACAGTTGTTACTCCAGGTTACAACACTAGCAAATCTACATTTCTTTTGATTTGTTCTATGTTGCACATCTAAATTAATTAGTGGCATCTGGAATGCATGACTTGCCTCAACCACGGGCTTTGCCACTGCCTCATACACACGTTTTTGTGAAGCGTTTTCACTGAAGACCTCATCGAATTTGTAGGATTCACAGCTCCAATTATTTTTCTTCAGTTTCAGCCTCTTGGACTACAGAAAACAAGATCATCAACACAATCAGCTGCAGAAAAATATATACAGTTCACGTGATTGCTGATAAAGAAACTGAAGGGTAAAATGGGATGGACAAGCTAACCTCAGGCTGCAACTCAACACAACTATTAAAGTCAGCACCATGAGCTAAATCCTCTGAATTCTTCGGCCGGAGCCTTACAGCAACTCTCACTCTGCACGAATCTGTGATTGTGAAAGGCATCTTTATATCAGTTCCGCATTAATAGAGCAACAAACTAAGTTTCCATGATAATGAACCGCAGGTCTACCAAAATCAGAACAACACAGTGCATCCGAAAAGCGCCTGTTGGACTACAATGAACCATCAGTGAGTAAATTTGGTGCAAGTGAGCAGGCTTGACGTGAACAAGCTGACCATTAGGGAAGGGGCTACTGCCTGAGGGATATATTGGTGCCATAACGATCCCTGCCTCAGAAGCAACAGCGAGCTGCCAATGCAGCACCGCTTATCTCCCCCAACTGCATCTCCGTTACCACTGCAACACCCCCGCTTCATTTCAGCTCTCAAGTCGAATCGATTACGAGCCTAGAGAAACCGACAAAGCGAAACCGCGAAACCCCAAGGTGTGTGTGTGTGTGTGTGTGGTGGTGGTGGTGGTTGGGGAGATGCATTCTCCGATCATTCACGGGGAGATAGATAGTAGGTACCAGCGCTGCCGCTGTGGTCGGTGGCTGGCCGCGACCTCGCGGGGGACGGGGAGGGGCGGCGCGGACCCGGCGCGACCGACTTGGACCGCGGGCTGGCGCCGCGGGGCGCGCCATGCCTCTCGACGGGCCGCGCAGGCGCCCACCCGGCGCCCGTTGCCATCGCCGCCGCGGGAGGCCCGAGTGCGGGTGGATCTCTCTCGGCGGCGGGGCGAGCTGGGGAGGCGGAGCGAATCGGAGAAACGGGAGGGATTGAGGCGGCGTCAGGCGTGGTGCTGGGGTTGTGGTTTCGTTTCCGTTTGTGTTTTTGAGTTGAGGCGCGCACGACGGCGACCGTGTGGGGGTGGCCGTACTCAAATAGTGCCGTTTGTTAGCTTACATATCGTGGGAACACAGCTGTTGTGTTCCTCAATTAATTGCGAAAAAAAATCACCAAAATATGAAAAACACTAACATTGGAAGACAAAAAAAAAATTACTCTCTCCCAGAATAAATGTACGTCTCACTTTTTAAACTGTAAGACTTCTTAGGACGCTCATTAGAAGCGTGTCGTATGTATGGTTAAACTCTTTTTCTTCTTAATTACAATAATACGTAAATCTTTTGCGTATTCGAGAAAGAAAAAAAAAACTTTTCTAAATTTGACTAGAAATAGAGAAAATATTATCAATATTTTGAATCTCCAAAGAAGTTTATTATAAAAGTATATTTCATACTCAATCTAATGATATTTATTATATATCATAAATATTAATATATTTTGTATATATTTGGTCAAACGACCAATCGGGAAACGAGACGTGTATTTATTATTATCCCGTACAACACAAGATAAAAAATATGTATAGATGCGCTGGACATGACGGCAAGACCTCCAACCATGTGCCCCGGGGGCGGCACCGGACACCGTACACTGTGCCGCGGCGCAACGGGCCATGGCCAAAACAGCTTCGCAGGCTACCACCGGTGGTGAGTCCACGTCCGACTAGACAACTGCAACAAAAATACACCGAAAAGCTGAACAGTGACGACTACCAGACTACGAGCGACAACGGACAACAATAGGAGTACATGGCCCGAGACAGGCACATCCATGTAACAGGTTAAATAAAATACTTAAACCATCGACATTTCGATCCTGACTGACATAAACTTAAAGATAATAAATAGCAGGGGGAAGCAGCCCATGGGGGGGAAGGGGCAAAGCCCAAATCCCAGTCTTCCTTCTTACACAACAGCAAGACATAAATAAACCACCCTTGTAACCATCTGCAGGACATCCTAGGTCAGAATCATATCGGGAGTGTTCGGCATGGCTGAAAAATAAGCTAAAATACTGTTCCAGCTGATTGGTGTGAGAGAAAAATATTGTCTTATCTGAGAACACTGTTCACAGGAACAGTGCCCGTGTGAGTGCGCGCCCCAGCCCCAGCCCAGCTGTCCAGCCAGCCGAACGCACCGATCATCTCCATCCACTTCCATTTCAGTATCATGTTGCTTTTGCTCATCGTCCCAGGGTGGCATAGACATCCAGAATCCAGGAGGCTTCTTGTTAGAGGATCCCAGCAACACCGTCCCTGGTCGTTTCAGGTTTCCCTTCGTTCCTGCACCCAGCAAATTAAACAACCCATGTTTTAGTGAGTGCCAAAAGTTCAGCCCAATAATACTGTGAAAAAAAAAATCATTTTTTTATCTCACCAACCTAACAGCTAGGCTGCAGCGTCCCAAGAAAGCAATGTAATAAAACGAAACAGCCCTCCAATACTGGAATTGCTCAAGAGCATTAACAAATCTACCTTGCCCCAAAACAGATGACATGTTACAGGCATCTTTTTTTTGTACTATGATTTTAAATTTCATCCTAAACAATGCATTCTAAACAACAAGAATCACTTCACTGATCATAATAATAAATTGGAATGATAACAAATCGTCATAAATTTCACCAGCACAACTTTCCTTTTTCTTTTAGCAAAGAAAGATCCTTTATAAATCCAATTGAGTTGGCTCACTAGTGTATGTTTGAATCAGAACCCTGCAGTTTAAAGTATAATAATGTACTCCCTTCGCGCTTTGACTTTTCTGGTACATCCATTTTGCTATGCATGACTTTTTTGGTACATCCATTTGATATTATATCTAGATGCATAGCAAAAATGGATGTACCAAAAAAATCAAAGCGACTTATAATTTAGAACGGAGGGAGTAGATTCGCTTCGTTTATTTGTCCCCCCACCCCCACCACACACACACACACCAAAAAAAAGAGTGGTTTTCTAATAGACTGGGCCAAATTGGTCCCATATGTTTTGGTGGTTCCTAAGCCAGAGGGAGGTGAGGATGAAGCCAGTTTAATCAAATGCTATCTTAGTTACGTGTTGGTATCAAAGGGTTATCATTAGGGAATCTCTTATCATTACTGTCTTTAGAGAAGATCAGGTCACTACGCATGGAGGTGGAGAACAAAATAGCATAAGCAAAGAACAAAATTAGAAGCAAGCATAGCAAAAGAGACAGGAGGGTAAACATTCTGTTTACTACTAGTTGAGTAAAAAAGATGATTATTCACCTTGACAACACATTGAGGTGACCAGAAATATAGTGTCAAGTAAATACTTCTTCGACCCTTACGAAAAGCAAGGGGCCAAACAAACCTTTCAAGAAAGCACTTGGACCAAATTGACTATACAGCCACTTTAAATTAAAGTTTTTTTTTTTTACTTCGATAAGAGATGAGAACACAAGCATGCAAACATACTATGAACAGATATTCAACTTCACTATGATAAGGTCCATTAGGAACACAATGATGATATCTCCGGGAAGCATGGAATCAACCACCCTTGGGGCATGCTTCTGTTATCTACCTAAAACAAATGGGACTGATGCAACACTGGTCACTGCCTCACTGGGACAACACAATCACATCTGTTGCAAACGATCGACCTTGTCTGGATTTGTGGCCTGGAGTGGACATGGCATTTAGACACCCATGACCCACTCATCAGCGAGTATATGGACTGAACTAGTTTAGCAGGCGATTTGCGATAATACTGGGACAATGCAACAACAGAACCAAAAGATTTGTAGAAGTAACCATGGGATGAGGGTTGCATTGCTCGAACATGATTACCTGGGGCTGCCGTCAGATATTTGGATATCCTACTGTGCATATAGCCAAAATCCACGCCGATAGTCCTTTCCGCAACAAACTCATCCACTCCTTGTAATGTGTTGTTCTTCATGTCCACAGCAATCACCCAAGCCTTGCCATCCATGCTCTTCGCCTTGGTCATGAAGTAAACAAGATCATCATCATCACTCAAACTGAGTGTGGGTTGACATACGAAGAGTCCCTTGAATGGTTTCACAGTCATGCCACTATGGTCCAGCATCTCAGGCATTAGCTTAAAATGTGGGTTGCTGTCAATTGGGATATCAGAAGACTATTGCTTACAGCCCGGTTTCCAACAGTCCTCAGCACAATCAGCATCCACCGGTCTTGTCCATATCCTGGACATCCAACCATCCCTGAAGTAGCAACCCCTAAAGGTTGGGTGAGGCTTCCAGTGAACCTGCAGCTCAACGTATTTAATGGTGCGACCTTGTTGGACTATGGCGATGTCCCGAGCGAGCCGTGCGTCACCCCTATTCACCCTGCCTGGAAGGAGTGGCGGTGGCAAAGTTACATAACGAATAGGAGGGGTGGTTTTGCCTCGCTGAAGCTTGAGCACATCACAGAAGAGGATACCCCGCCAGAGGTCAACGAAGCCCATGGTGCCAGAATCTCCTCCAATTGAGATGACCTTGCTGTTGTAATGCTCGAAGTGGCAGCCATATTGGCGTCGATGTTGGTTTTCGTCCACTGAGATTTTGTGGGTAATCCAGATGGTTGGAGAATTGGAGTTGTATAGACAAATGACAAACTCTCCAGGGGCCACGGAATTGGGCGCCCTACAGAGTGCGGCGACAATATAGAAATCACCTGCGGTGTCGCGGTGGGGGCGCAGCGCGTTGTAGCGCCGTTGGTGGCGGGCGCCGCAGCGCAGAATGCCAACTTGATCTGAATCAAACTCATAGGGGCTATGGAGCTTCGGCAGCCGCGGGAGCCGCTTGAGTGACGGCCCCTCGTCCGCGGCCTCGTCGGTAGCCTGGTAGATGTAGTAGTCCGCATCCTTGAAGATGTCCCAACGTTTAGAACTGACGATGATGCGAAGGAGGATGACGTCCTCCACCATGGCGAGGATGTGCGGCTCCAACGGGAACACGGTGTGTGCCATTCCAGGGCATAAGACGCACAGGTGGGAGACGCGCGGCGGGCGGGCGAGGCAGAGGGTGACCTGGATCTGCTCCCCGCGCCATGTCTCGGAGAAGGCAGTTGTGTTGTTGCGGCGTTCAGCGACGTAGGCCTGGTTGTCGAGGACCACCCACTGGATTTCGCCGCCTTCTTCGTTCTATAGTTGTCCATTGGGCCAGCCCGGTCCGGCACGGGCACGGGCAGGCACGGCCCTGTGCCGTGGCTCCACGGGCCTCGTGTCTGGCCTTCGATCCAAGCATGGCACTATGAGCCGAAATTCATACTGTGCCAGTCCACGGCCCAGTGACCTTAACACACTTTAAAATATTGCTCCCATCACACTCTTCTCAATTTTCAGTTACATAGATTCATTCACAAGCCTTTAGCTAAACTCATTCACAATCACAAATATAACATTCCAAACTTATCACAGATTCTAAGTTATAACTTCTAACCAAAAGCACCAAAGAAGAAAAGACAATTAAGATAAATAAGCTGTTTATGCAATGCTGTCTCATTAAAAATATTTCTAAGTAAAATTTACCCTTATAAGAAACCCTAGAAAAAAGAGAGAGTGCAGCACAGCTTTTAATTAAGTCTTAAACCATTGTTCAAAGGTCTCATATACAGATACAAATAACAGATCACTCTCAAGTCTCAAACTCTCACAACTCTCAAGTCTCACATAGTCTGTAGCAGCAAAAGCCACAGATGACACGGACACTAAGTACCAGCAGAAGCCACAGATACAGATGTGCCAGCCCCAGATGCATCTTCATCAAGATAGAGATTCTTGAAAGAGTCTTTCAACTCTTGGTTGTCAATAGCATGCTGCAACCTTTTTTCTCCTAACTCTCAATCTTTTATGCAAGCCAACATCTTCACAGTTTCAGGCAACAAGCGTCGTCGCCGCTCTTTAATTATCCTTCTTGTCAAGCTAAAACATGATTATGAAGAGACAATAGAAATAGAAACAGACATAATATCTCTAGCCATTATATAAAGTACTGGAAAGATTAGTTTGTGGTCACGCCACCAGAAAAGTAAATTAAAATCATCCTCATATGCAGTGACATTGTCACTGTCCAGATAAGCTAAGAGCTCACAAGCAGCAGCAAGAGCAGATAGAGATGGAGTAGGGGCAGAGGCAGGGGAAGAACCAACAACACCAGATGATCCAGGGCCTCCAAAGATTCTTCCCCATGCCTGTTTTTTCTTACCTGTATGGCTTGCAGGTTGTGCCGCCCTTTGAGACCTAACTGCACCAAACTTTCTCTCATATTTGTTAAACAACATGTAAATTTTAGTTTTCACATGAGCATAATAAGAATTGTAGTCAGAACCAATGTTCTCTTTAAGTATTTGAAGAACATTAAATAAACCTCTCAACTTAGCTCTAGGATCAAGAACGAATGCAAATGAATATAACAGAGGTATATCATGCTAGTATTTAAGTAATTTAAGCTTCATATGATATACAAAAGCTATTAGATTTTGATCTTTTTCACTTGCATGCAAATGAGATGCAATGTCTAGCAGATGGTGTAGAATAAGTGGACTAGTTGGATAGTAAACACCAAAAAGAACAAAAGTGGATTCATAAAAATTTTTCAAGAACTCCAATATCTTTTCAGCAATATACCAATGCCTTGCAGTTAACAATGTTGACCCATAATTAGCATTAATGAACACAGAAAAATATCCTTATATGGAAGCAAGTGTTTATGCATAAGATATGTAACATTCCATCTAACATCCATATCTAAGCCAAACTTTCTAAGTCTAACACCCTGAGCAGTGCAGTAGTTCTTGAACATAGTAATTCTTTGATTAGAAAAAATTAAGAAGTTAATAGCAGTTCTAAAATCCTTTGTGTAAGGTTTGAACCTCTTTAAACCAGATTATACAATCAGATTAATGATATAACAAGCACAACGTTGATGCACAAGACTATACTTACGTTTATTAGGATCTGAATGATCAGGTGCAGGATCAGAACCCAAATAACCAACAAACTTAGGTGTTAAAGTTTTCATAGCCTTAGCATTAGAAGAAGCATTGTCTAAAGTTACAGAAAAAACCTTGTCAATCAAACCAAACTTCTGAACCATACAAGTAACCCTTTCAGTAATATTTTCATCAGTATGTTTCACCTCAATCAACCGAAGACCAATTATCTTTTTCTGTAACTCCAAATCAGCACTCACATAATGAGCCACAATACTAATGTAGTCCTCCTTAGCATTACCAGGCCAAATGTCTGATGTCAGAGCAACAGAGGAAGCAGCAGACAACATAGAGTTCTTAAGAATATTACGACGTTTAGTAAACAGTTTGCTAAGATCTCTAGTGGTGGTCTGACTAGATACCTTAACAAACCTAGGGTTATGAGCACGAACAATGTACTCTTCTCGAGCCTCTGTCTCACCAATACCTAACGGTAGATCAAGCCTAGCAATCAAGCGACACAACTCAGATCTAGCAACATCAGGTTTATAGTCCCAGTTATGCGCAGAACCATCAGGATTGTAAGCAAGCCTAGACTGAACCCTAGCACGTTGATCAATTTTCTGCCTACAAGTGGCCAGTGCCAGCATTAGATCTAGCATATAAGGTTTGCTTATACATTTTACAAATAGCTTTAGTGCAAATCTTCCTACCATTCACTGTCTCATATTTCTCATCAAAATCAGCCCACACAGGTGATTTACGCTTACCAACATTAAAGTTACCAGCAACAGATGGAGCAGAACTATTGGAGATGGAGCCCAGCGGGTTCCCAATCACCGTCGTGTGGCAGAACCGCTCGAAATAACACACCTTTGGAGGCGTTCGTCTTCTACCAGACACTAAGCACCCCGAAAGTTAGCTATATCGGACGGTTCTGTTGAGCACACCCTAAGGGAGAACTCGAACAATCCATATTTTTTTCTCCAGGATCCAATGATGAGAACGAGTTTACAATTCTTAGTCTATTTCATACATCAAGAATTCTCAGAAATATATTATTACAATATCAAGTTCAGAGTGTGGAATTTAAACAGCGAAATTACAATAAACATCTAACGATAAGATACAAGGATTCGTCTGTGTCCACTAGAAGAATCCTCTACACAACAGCTACTCCTCAAGCTACACCTGCAACAGGGGTAAATAAACCCTGAGTACATAATGTACTCGTAAGACTTACCTGACTAGTGGGAATAATTTTCCGACTTCAAAGGATATGATAAGCTTTATGGTTTTCTGGGTTTTATTTTTACAAAAAGCAACACTAGTAGTGAATCCTTATTTATGTGTTTTATTAGCAGTCATGATTAGTTCATTAGCTAACCATTCTATATAAGCACATGTTCTACTTTTAAGCAAGAGTTGAGCAATCAGATCCATTTCACCACCTTTCATCTTTCAGTTCTTACTACGGTGCTAAATCGAAGACAAGTCGTACCATATTATATGGTGATTCATGAACCAATGTTGCCTAGCTGGGTACCCCGAAACACACACCCCGCTTATACCCCAGGCATAAGCAGGACTAACCCACCACTCTCCTATCAAGGGGTCCAGGTCTCCGTCCAAACTTGGACTCTAAGCCTCCACACCTGAGTCCCGGACTCAGTGTGGTGCTTAGACCTCCACCATCCTCGTCTCAAAATCAGTCAGTCCAGAAAGAGCCAAAACCCACGATAAGAGAGCAACGAGCCTTCCCTGCTCCCATAAACAAGTATGTGCTCAGGATAATAAGTCGGTGACTTAACTAGAATCTAATGCAACGGTCAGTCGTTAACCGACATGGACAGAGAAAACAATGTAACCAAGCTATGCCCCGTTGGCCACGGGACACAACCTCTTACACCCACAAATATCTATACCATATCCCTGCCCGGTCTCTATTTCCTTTCACCATTTTATCATGAGAGTGATAATAATAATAATCACCTATTGTGAGTAACGGTAGGTTACTCACGCTACCGATAGCCTAAGCATAGCAGCTACTCGACCTATGCTAGTAGGACTCATAGGTAGGTTATCTGTGAGTGTAGTTTCAATATAAATCATGTAACGTAAATGCACGTCACATATCAAGATGGCAACGGGTACGTACCCGATGGGTACTGGCCACCTGTACCCGCACCCGCCAGATCAAAATCTTACCCGTCGGGTTACCCGTACCCGTAGGCGGGTAGAAAATTCATTCCATACCCACACCCGACGGGTAATTCTTACCCGACAATATACCCGAGTTCACACACCAAAATATAATAGCTTCCAGCAAAACAAATCAACAATAGAGCAGCAAAACAGAAATATGGGCTGGTGGAGTGGAGTGAGGATGAGGATTAGGGTTTGATGGAGTTCTGAAATATATATACTCATATGCTTATATGGGCTATATGCTTATATGGGCTAAAATTACAGAGGTTAGATATTATTTATGCGGGTTCTTTTTACCCGCGGGTATGCGGGTATGGATAGTATACATCCACACCCGTACCCGCATACCCGATGGGTACAAGAATTCGTCCAATAACGTACCCACGGGTGCAAAATGTCTTTCATACCCGCCTCCTTATCGGGTAAAACCCGTCGGGTACTCGGGTTTCGGGTACCTATTGCCATCTTAAATCACATATATATATCCAGTGATCATTCAAAATAAGGGTTATGCACTGGGGCTTGCCTCGAACAGGTGCGGTGGTGTCAACTCAGTCAATCAGTGGCGGCTCCGGGACCTCCTCCTGCACGAGGATCTCCTCCTCGTACTCCTTAATCACCTCCTCGAACTCATAGTCTTTGATGGTCACGATCTCCGCCAACTCATTCTCTACATGCATGCGATGAAGATGCAACACTTAGTATTTTAGCAATAGCAGCTCCTAAATTAAGAATACACATGGTAAACTACTAAGCTAGCTCTAATGACTAAGATACTAAGCTAAC